CTGGCAACTGCATGCAGACACGCGTATGCTGTTTTCGAGGTGCTATCTCCGGGCACTCTCCATTCGCGCCTTCCTTGCCCGAAGCCCTGCGCCCACAATGGACACTGAGAAGCAGGAAGCTGCCCTCGTGTCTATTTTAATTAATAATACTCCGTAGTTTTCAGGGCCGTCTAGAGGGTGAGCTCCAGCGTGTCCAAAAGCCCGGAAACTACGGCAGCCTTTGCTCGTTCCTGTTGCTCCTACGGCGTCTTTTCAGGGGCAAGTGTCCGTAAAATCGCACCGGTGGCCCCTGCTCCGCCAACGGCAGCCATTGGCCAATTGCGTGCTGGTTGTCTGCAGGCTTTTTTCGGTCACCGCCTTTTAGCGGTTGCTCCTTCTCCACGGCGCAATCATTTGCGCGGAAATGTGTGTCATCCCCGTAACTGAACACAGCTAACAGCTGCGAGTGGGAAAACACCACAAAGAGGCTCCAGCCTTGCGCTTACCCCCCTAAGTCAAGCAACGACCAGGGGCACAAGGCTCGGAAGTCGTCAGCAGAACCACAAGGCTGCCAATGACAGAAGTCTGTTCCAAATACAGTCTATGCTTGATATTTGGTTTTTGTTACATGACTTGACTGGACTGTACAAAGGCGTTTTCTCATCTAAACGCCCGTAACGCGTCGCTCAAAAGATGGCTAGTAAACATGGCGCTCCAAGACACGCGGCAATCATAGAAGCCCAATCCCGAACGTTGGCCCTGCCCATATGTTCAAGATCCCCAGCTATATTGCCGTCTCTCCGAGACCTATTGGATATGCCTCAGAATACCCCGACACACGTCACGGCCGTCATCCTCGGGCCCTAGAATCTCCGGTGGGGGCATTGGATGAACTATCACGAGGTGCATCGAAACGGACCAGACCCAGAAAGCTTCATCACGGGACCGAGAGAGGGAGGCAAGCATCGTCGCTTTATAAAGTCGCCCGCTAAAGTCATAGTTACATCAAGTTCGCGATCCTGCCGAAATTCGTTCTGGACATGAGAACATAAGGGCGGCCTTGGTAATAGAAGGAAATGCTTGGTCAACCTACAACGCCACCAGCCGTCCAATGTTTTATCGTGTCCAAGTGCCGATGTTCTCACAAAGACATTATCCGATCTTTTGTGTCGTACTTTAACAGCCACACACCAATAGCCATACCCTCCTGCTTGACGCACCATTCATCCCAAATTGAATGAACAAGTGGGACATCTAGGGATCGAGCATGTGGCCGATGCAGTAGTAAGACGGCCATATTCGGTAGTACCACAGTTGCATTAGGTCACATTTTCCCTTGGCCACTCTCTTATGACACAAGATCTTTGCATCTTAGCAAAAGTGTCAAAGGGGCGCCAGGCATCCATGACGGCAAGTTGGCGACATCAGCGACATACAGTGTCGACAAGAGAGCAATACCAATGTCTTCCTTTATTTTAAGACACAGGGCCTCCATGGGGAGGACCGCTCATTTCAAGGTCTTTTTTTGGTCTTCCTTTGGAGGAAGCCAGCGCTGCAGAGCCACTGGCCACGCTCTCTGCCAAACGACTTTCCTCTTTCTTCGATAGAGTCCTAGCTCGAGGTAAAGACGACGTAGGCACCCCAGGGTAGAAACTGCCCCAGGCCCGAACTCGTACACATACGGAGCAGACTCGAGAAAAGAGCGAGCTTTTTTGTATTTCGTATCTGTGGTGCGTCACGGGTAAATCGAACAGGGTAAATCCAAATATGCGAGTGACGAAACTGCGAGGAAGGACTTTAATAGAATATAAGAACGCGACCCCTGCCATCCAACCCCCCCCAGCCACCAGGTTCAAGAGTCTCTTAGCAAGATCAATACAGCCGCCCATCACACTGTCACTCTTGCTGGTCCTTTTGTATGGTTCTGCTTACGGCTCCGTGTCCCGCATGTGGCACAGGAAGGGGCTCTTGACTCCACCTGAAACATGTGCATTAAAGGGTTTTGATCAAAATCGGTACCCAGGAGACGATCTGATTATTTTATCTCTTTAGAAACATGCAGGGTCGTGATTGTGTGTCCCTGGTGGTACCTCTTCTCAAAAATACTATCGACGAGAATGTCAAAAATAAGCAGATGTGTGCACCCGCGAACTGTCGTAAGCGCGGGTTTGCGTGCATGGTATATGTGACATCGGTAGCGCGCCTGAGTCATAAGGAAGCAATGCAGAAACAAGCCTCACTTGTGCACTCCATGCGCAGGTGACGAATATAATTCACTTCTGTCACGTTTTGGGTGTATGGATACCGGACATGCAGTCACACGGCCGTGGCCCTCTGCTGATGCCATATTTGTCCTTAAGAAAAAGAAACAAAAGAAAAAAAAAAAGGCTGTCGCCCCCAGACGGAGCGGCAAACTTCGTGTAAGTCTAGGGCTCAACGGGCAGAATAGCAGTTGAGACCTGTAAACCGAACGAGTGAATAAAGGGGCAGTGTCAGGTAGCGGCTGGCACGGGGATTTTGGTCTCTTATTTTGGGTGTGTGCCACTAGAGCATAATGACCAAACAAGAGTATATAGATGACGAGATGTGGCCGAAAGCCCGCCGGGTAAGCAGTTAAGTCCTTCCGCGTTTGGATGGTGATGTATAAGGAAAGAACAGCGAACTGGTCGACGGTGAGCATGCAGTAAGGCACCCATTCCGGTATTGACCTGCAACGGCTTCCAGGCAACAATCCAGGCAACAATCCAGGCAACAATCCAGGACTGCTCGCAGGACAGATAGACTTACGCATCCATTTTCCAATTGCAATATAGGCAAATTGGTGTTCTGTGGACCAGATATGCTAGTTCTAGACTTGTATTGTAAACAATAGACTTCATCCTTATAGTTCGTACCCGGTCTAGCGTGACCATCGTAGACTAACTATCACGGCCCTCTGGACATATTTAGAGAGCTGTCTCTGCCTCTCTGTTTGACTTCCAATATCAATTTCAGTGAAAATAATCAAACAAGCAGCACAGAGTACTCTATGACTACTTATATGTAACAAGCACATTACTCATATCTCCTGCTCATTTCGTATATAATAACACCAAGAAAACTCACCCTCCCAAACACTATTACCAGGGAGCATCCTACATCAATCTTGCCCCTTTCCCAGACCGACAATCACAAAGCTGTCATTATGAACTACAACGGAGTCAACCCGTATTCGTCGACAAACTACCACAGTGTGGACCGTGATACTGCGCGCACTCTCATCAACGATATCACATACAAACCATCTGCTGATGAGATCGCCGCCATAGAGCGCCATGAGGCTGCTCGACAGGCTGCCAAAGACGCCAAAGCAGCTCGCAAAGCGGAAAGGGCAGAACTGTCCAGACAGGCCAAACAGGCCAAACAAGAAAGACAGGCCCGCAAACATGCTTCGTCTTACAGCGCCGGTGCTGCCTACAGTGCTCAGTCTTTTGGTGCTGCTTCCTACAACGCCACCTGGCATCCTGCCGGTGCACCCTCGGCAGCAAATGATACCTACACCTCCCAGCCGACCGTTGCAGATGACAAGGCCTCTGTCTTCAGTGGCGGTAGCTCGCGCAGGTACAGCAGTTTCCGCAGTCTGCTGTCCCGCAAGCACCACGGAAAGGGGAAGAAATAAATCAGTGCCACGAAAAACAGGACACTCGTTTTATTTTCCAAGGGACGCCCTCTTGACAACAATATTAGCCTTGGTCTCCTTGTTTTAGTGATTATGGTTACTTTCAACCTCTTCCTACGTCGCCTACAGAAAACACAACAGAGAGAATGAAAAACGGAAAGCAAACAGAAAAGAAAGATATATAACCACCTCTTACAACACGGAACAATGTCTCAAAGGATATTCACACAGCTTGGTTTAGAAGCGTCACCGTGCCACGGAGGATCCGGTGAGTCCGTCCGCGGCTCGGATCTAGAGACGGACAAACCTAGGACGGGCCATGATATTGGCTCGGTGTGCTAAGGGGACCACGAAAAGGCTTGAAGGCAATTCTTGTCAAGGCTTTTTTTACGGCTTATTGTCATAAAAGTCTTACGGTCTTACCAACTTATTTGTTAACATGTACAAACTGTTTTCGACTTATCCTTAATAGACGTAGTGATTCTTTGCAGGTCACAGAAGAGGATGGTACCCTGCTCTTCCTTGTAAATGCTCTACTACAATCCCAGCTCGTTTCACACGAAAGGCACACGGCGTATTAAGGCAAAGGCGCTACTAGTGGCATTAGATGAAAAGCTATCACAAAAGTGACAATCAAAGCATGCCACAAAGCCCTACGAAGAGACGCAACCAGTAGAGATTGAAATCGAGCACAGAGAGTTAAATAACAGATTTTTTTGATTTGAATAGTTTGTTTTAGTAATAGAAAAAGGACGTAACTAAAACGGAAATAAAAGAGGGAGGTGGCAGTAAATCTAAGATGCAGGAAAACGGACAACAAAAACCCACTGGTGAAAACAAGTTATTTATAAGTCTATCAATTACCAGTCCCGTCCGTGATAAATAAAATGCAAAGCAAACATACCGCCGTTGTTCCAGTCTGATGCAACAAGGGTCATTGTCTTTTAATTGTCTTGTGGGAAGAAAGGGTTCGGGAAAGGATGAATAGCAATAAAGCGTGTATATGGGGAGGGGGAGGGAACTAAAATAGACAAAAACAAAACAATAGCAGCAAACAGGAGGGAAACAACGGCGAGTACAGAGTGAAAACAAACAGATGCGGAAATGACGTCAAGCAAAACGTAAAAAAAATTGGACAGACCACCAAACAATGTAATTGCCAAATCGACGAACGCACAACAAGGGAGGTGAGTAAGACTTTCGAAAAACGCCGCAGATGCGAGGATAATACCGGTAACCGTCCCAGGGAGAGATAATTGACAGGTGAAAAAGACAGGCAAAGGAAATAGAGGAAAGACAAGAAAAAAATAAAAAGGGAGGAAAAAACTTTTTACACCAGTTGTGCCGTCAGCTGCCGTGCCTTTTAGAATTCTGCTGTGACCGAAGAAGATGCGATAGCCTCGTGTCTTAAAGGAGGAATTTGCCGAGGCAGAAATAATGAATGCCGTCCCTGGAGAAACCTTGTCGCCTTGGGTTTGTCGCCACCAGCTGGATTTGATTCGCCATGTCCACGTCCCAATATTGTTTGACCGTATCGAGACCAGCCGAGACCTTTGCAGCTGTCCGCGGCGAGAGGGGGTTTCCCACGGAGAGAACGTAGGCAGTGTCGTCGGCACCGACCAACGACGTCTCGCCCAGGTAGCGCGGGCAAGGACGTCTTCGTGGAGACTCGCATTGGATTTGATTTGCGTGTGGGTACGGTAAGCAGATTTAGAATCTTCCGGCCTCGTTCACGCTGTTCTGGAGTGTCATTCCAACACAGCAGCATCAGCATCAGCATCAGCATCAGCGCCTGCAACTCTTGGAAATCGCGGACGTTTCCTGTGAAAGGATGCTCTTCGTACTTTACGTCGAGCAAGGAATCGCCGGCAGCAGCAGAATCGTGGATGGCAGCAAGTATATGTGATTGACGCAGCAAGGAATCACAGACCACGTCGTTCATTGCGCGCACCTGGTTTGCGGCGAAAGTGTCGGCGTAGCATGAGCCAATGCATGCCATAGCAGAAAGTAGACCGGTGTAGGCTTCTGATAAACTAAAAATAGGAACATGAAGAACTGGAAATGGACGTGAAAATGAATGTACATGTCGAGAAAAAAATATTTGACGTTTTCGGGAGAGAAGAGCACCCTAAAAGTCATAGAGATCAAAGGATTCTCTGTAAAAATTGGGTGCTCGAGGAAGGTGAGTATTTGCGCGGAGAGCAGCAAGAACAGGTCCTGCGCTTGTTGAGGCGGACCCCAGAGGTCGTAGAAGAACGGCTGGTCGCTGGGTACATAGTCATCGTGACCTCCTTCCGCTTGAAGGTCGGCGTCGCCAGTTCGAAGCGACTTAGTTTCTAGGCTGGTTGCGTTCTGCGTCTGTCGAGAGTTAGATAGTGATCTTTGATTGACTGTGCGAGATGCGCTTGTGAGTAAACATTGGGGGTATACGCACCGGCCTGGAACATCGAGGACCAATCAAGTCCCGACTGGGGGTTAGGGTTTTGTCCGGCGAACATGGGCATGCCGTTCTGGCTGGCATTCATGTTATAATTGGCTAGCTGGGGGTTCATGCCAGCGCCGTTGTAGGCAGCGGACTGGTCGTAGCCCTGGCCATTCTGGCCATTAGCCGGGGTAGGAGCACCGTTAGTGACACCACGCTGGGCAGTAGGGGCAGCGGTGCGCTGGTTCGGGTCAGTAGTGGCCGGGTCAATACGGGACATGCTGTTGGACCGCGAAATTTGCGCAGACTGGTCGTTGGGCATGTTGTTCTGCAAGCCATCGGCTGGCGCAGGGATCAGGCCGAAAGGGTGGACCATGCCGTCGCCCTGAACATTGCCCATGCCGTTAATGTGGTTCATGTCACCCGACTCAGCCAGATGCTTCTGCTGCTGCTGCTGACTTTTCTTGACGTGCGCGTGGGGGTGCGACAGGTGGCTGACACCGGTCGGGTTTCCGCGGCGAATCGAGCACTTTTGGAAGTGGCGCTTCAGGATGTCACTGCGCGAGAAGGTGTCTCTGCACAGAACGCACATGTACGGGCGATCGCCGGTGTCTTAAAAGATTGTTAGATTCAACTCGCGTGGATGGGAGGGAAATTCAAAAAGGCTAACAAAATCCCTCGTCCCTGTTTGCAAGCTAGAAAGACAAAGACAACCAGAAAACATCGGGTTATATAGACACAGTTGGCACACTGGGCAAAAAGAAAAAAACTTACGACGCAGGAGGTGGCGCTTTAGGTGCTTGGCGTGCAGGTACGTCTTCGTGCAGTGAGGACACGGGAACTTGCCGTCCGCATCCTTCTGCGGGATCTGGTTCTTGGTAACCGATCCGGCTGCGGGAGGAGCAGGTCTGCCGGGGGCGCTGGGGAGGATGCCGCGGCGGCCTTGAGAGCCAACTACATGAGTAGGCGGCTCGTTATCCGGAAGCATGTTCTGAGGCATCAGAGGGCTCTGAGTGTAGGGCGACTGCATGCCCTGCTGCGGCATGACACCGTTAGCGGGCATGGGGCGCAGAATCGGAGGGCCTCGGTTGCCTGGCGCAGGGGCAGGTGCGATCGGCTGCGGGTGAGCCATGGCGGTGGTGGTCTGCGGCAGCATGGCAGACGACGTTGGGGCATACTGGTGGGTAGGCTGGTAGTTACCCGGCATCATCTGGTACGAGCCACGGCCACCGTTGGTGTTCGGAGGAGGAGGGTAGTTGTTCATGGTAGGGCCCGGGGTGTTGGGAGTAGCCGGGGTGCGCGGCGTGTGCGGGTAGCTGCCGTACGGGGTACCGTTTTGCATAATACCGTTGCCCTGCTGCTGTTGGTGGTGCTGCGGATGCTGCGAGTTGTGCTGGTGCTGCTGGTGCTGCAGTGGCGGGAGGGTATGGGGTTGAAGATTGTTCTGGGGCGTAGAAGCGGCCGATGATGGATAGGACGGAGTCGATGTGCCGTTAATCACATTAGACGAGTAGTGCGAGCCGTCCATATTATGGGTTCCTGTTTCCTCCTCGGATGACCTTTTCGATTAAAATGTTAGCTGTTTGGGTGTTCACGTTAGAACATAGTGTGACGCGTGGATGGGACGCGATGTGGGTATATATGTTGTGAGACAAAAGCGACACGACATTACTAAAGCCGAATCCAAAAAGCGCGCGGGAAAATTGCAAGGAATCGATGCGCTTTAACTTCATTTTTCGTGTTTGGCACGAGTGAAAGAAAAGACATCAACGATCACGGCGATGTGAGGGGGGCACAGGCACAAGCCGGCCACAGAAGAAAACGACAACAAAAAATGCACAATTCGAACGCGCATGAGATCAAAGGAAGTGACAGGAAATGAGTGACAGTTGGTGCGGGTTAGGCAGCCAATGTGACACCCCCAAGACGCCGCAAAATCCAAGGACAGGTCGACCAGGAACCGCAATGGAGCGGTAGCAGAGAGGACTAGCTAGACAAGAGCGAGGTCGGAGTGCACGCGCTCGCATCCAGTGAGCTAGGGTGTGCACGCCGACAAACGAGAGCGGCAGCAAAAGCAGCCCCAAACGGAAGGCAACTGCAGAGATTGACCAAAAGAATAGCGTGGCGGTAGCACGTATATGGACAAGGGAAAGGCGGCGGAAAAGGTTACGAGCGGGCGCAGATAACCAGTGACCCCCAAATGCAAGAGGCGGCAAGCACAGAGGAAGAGAGAAAAGAGAAGAAAAAAGGCAACCAAAGAAGGGGGCACGACTCGGCTGTGTCAGCCACGGGCAGGCGGCCACAGACCGTCACGTCAAGCCGTTCGTTCGTTGACGATCTGGCGGCTCGCATCAGGCTGAAAAGCGTAGTGAAAATCCCCGACCGACCTGAAGCCAGCCGTGCGTTCTTCCCCTCACCCTCCGCCGTTTTGTGGCTCTTTTTTTAACTTCTCCAGACTTCCCGCGTTGTAAGATTTTGGCAACGTCTCCTGGACTCTGGGGGGCAAGAGACAACCGGTGGTAAGGGTGTATTTTGGAAGGTCAGGCGGCCCCGTCCCGGGTGGTTCAAGTTTGCGTAGCAAACGCGTATGGTCTGGTTTGTCGGTAGAGCAGGAAGGCAGGTAACGATGTTCGTCGCGTCTTGACCCGATATGCAGAGACAAAGAGAGTCGAAAGTGCAAAGTTGCGCGTGTTTCCGAAGACTAGGGTGAAAAGTTTTTCTCTCCACTAGCCGCCGATTTGCTTCCAAAACAAAACGCGGGTCAAAGAAACTCAGCGACACAGTATCGTGGGACGATGCAGACAGTCATGCTACCGTCCTGATCCCCGACGTCGTTTTCCGTCCTTGGAGAGCCCCCCTTTGTGCCCCGTAGGTGAGAAATCGACAGTGCCGCATGGTATGTTTTCATCCCATGTCTTCCGCGATGCCGCGTGCCATCTTGCTTGCTCTCAGGCGTGTGCCCTCGCCTCGCCTTGTTTGTTTTGACGCGATCCTCTCTGAAGCAATATCTGCTGCCTTGCCGTTTTTGTATGCTCGCGTCTCGTCTCGTCTTCGCGTCCTCTCAAGACGTGTTTTGCGAGGGTCTCGGGACCCCGTCCTTGGATTGAAGAATGGGGCAATGGGTGGGTTGGCTGGGGAGTTCTTGAAACTCGCGTCTTACCTGTAGAGTTCGAGTTCTGTGAGCCGTCTTGTCGTCGATTAGATGGCAGCACACAAAACAATTGAGTTGCGATGTGATATTGGTAGGGGTGGGGATTTTGCAGAGTGGATAAGGTGATGCTTAAATGCGGTCTCTCAAAAGTGGAGGGTATGGGATAGAAGAACGAAAGAGAGATAGATTCTTGGAATCTTTGGAAAGGTTCGGGGTAAAAAAAGAGTGGGAGAGAGAAAGGAAAAAAAGTGGAAGGGAAGGGAAGAAAAGAAGTTGGAGTGGAGACAGGGGACGGGTGAGGGTCAAGCGTTTTTTTTGGGAGGGTTGGGTGTTAGAGCCGGCGAGTGGCATGGATTTTTTTTTGTTTTGGTTGGGGGTGTAGCAGAGAGGAAAGGAAAGAACAAACTACTGCAGAATACAGCGGGTAAATCAATTTGCGAACCACTGGGAAGGAGCCAGGGAAGGGAGAGGCTATGAGCGCTGAGGTGGTGTGGTAGTGTTGGTGTGTTGGTGTGTTGGTAGTGGCAGAAAATTTCCTTGCTTGTTTTCTTTCTCCTTGTGATTGCTTCGCGCCTTCCTCGTTGTCTGTCTTACCTTTGCTTTGTGTCTTAATTTTTTTGGTCGGGTTTACTGGGAGGGGCGCCTGTCAGGTACCGTGGTCCGTGGTCGGGAAGAGTGGGTTCTTTTCAGTGGGCTGGAGGCAGCGTGGTAGCACTGCGGCGGTCTTTAGTGCACTGTTTTGTGCTGCTATTGTGTGAGCAAGGAACCGTTTGATGGCGGACGACACGGGTGGTAGTGGCTTGGGACGGATAGATGGGTGGGTATGGGTGGATATTCGTAGAAGAAAGGAGATGTAAAAGTGGACAAGTGGATACCGAAGGTCAAGAAGGGAAGAACCTCTTGATATATATATTGTCAGCCAGCACACATGCCTCGGGGACAAATTCAGTGAATACAGAGGGAGGTTGGGGGGGTTGAGAGGGAAACAAATAATTTGTACAGTAAAAAGAGATGCCAGCGCTGGAAATAAGCACGCCCGGTGACCGTACCAGTTAACGCTGTTTAGAGCGACGGCGCTTGGTTTGATAGTGAGAGGCGAAAAAAAAACGCGTGGGAGATGGCAGCAAAGAAAAGGGGTCGAAAGTGCTGCAAAAGGATACACTGGGAAGGAGAGACGGGACACTGTCGACGAGTGTATTCGGAAGGTGGAGGAGAAGGAACAAAACGGTTCAAGGAAGTCACTGCCGAGGGAAAAACGGTGAAGAGTTACGAAAGAATACGTAAAACGAGTTTTTTTAATCCTTTTCTTTCTTTTAAAAAAACAGCGCTTACCCGCAAACCCGGCCAAGAATCTTCGCGTGCCTAGCGGCAAGTGGCAGGACAAAAAAAAAAAAAAAAAAAAAAAAAATTCGCGAACGCGAAGGCAAAACAACAAAGACAAAAGGCGACAGGCCACAGTTGCCACGTTTTTGTCGGGGGCGGCAAAGAAGCTAAGCAGGGAGTGAAAACGGTGGTGAGGATGCAATGCAGGTAACCGACGGGGGGAGTAGGAGTTTGGATTGGCAACAAATGCAGAAGTATCTTACCGGGAGGGAAGGAACCACACACCACACAAAGAAAACGGTGAAGTCGAGGGAAGGAGCGAGAAACTGGGAGCGAATCCTTTGGCAGGCAGGAAACTATCAACCAGCCAGGCGTTCCATATGCAGAAAAAGCAGACTTTGATACACTGATGCTTTCCCGCGTCCGGACGCACTCCGTGACTGTCGTAAACCAAAACAGGCAAAGGAAGCATTGGCAGATTACGAGCTAGGAAACATACCGGAGGTTTGGCACGGCACTCGACGCGCGTTGGTGAGCGAGCGGCGGAAAGAAGGACGGTCGACCCGGCGCCAAACGCCCCTGCCAACGAGAGCGGACGGAGCACAAACGCACTTGCTGTAAATCGTATACAAGTCACCCTTTCCATTGTCGGTGGTTTGAAACCCGAGCAGCTCTCAAATCAAAGGAAATCGATTCCATCGTGAGGTCCAGTCGAACGACCGTAGTGTATACTCAACATGGCCAATACAAGCCTCGAACATGCGGGTACCCACCTCATATCGCGCTCCTATGTTGGTCCCGCCAGGGGTCATTCTGAGAGAGCAAAGGAGGAGCCCGTCGGGGCAATGGGTTCAAGACCGACATCACGTCCTTTACATGGCGGCAGATTAAATTTCCAGCCGTTTTCGTCCAGAAGAAAACAAAGAACGAGCAGCAGTTCCTCCATTTTGCGGCATCTTCTTTTTTTGGTTTTTTTTTTTGGTCGGACATTTGCCCCCGTGCTCGTTGCTGCTTTATATCGTACGAAGCTGTTAGCCAGGCCGTATGTCATTCATCATCAATTTCCCTTTCCTCGCTGTATTTGTCGTTACGAACGGGATGATCTAAGGTCCGGAAAAGAAGTCGCGCCAAAAAGAACCTCGGCGCGAACCAGGAAACAAGAATCGAGACGTAACAGAAGCCGTCAGTTTCGACAAGGAAAGCAGGTGAGCTAGCAAAAGTGGAAGAGATTTGTCCCATCTCGGGGCTTTGTTGACATTGTACTAACTGAATGTGGCTGCTAGTAAAACTCAATCCGTCCTCAGGGCCGACTATCGATAAATAAATTCGCGGCCACGGACATTAATGCATGTGAATTCTCTCGGATATTTCCTAGTTGGGCTAGTTCATTGCATATAATTTCGATGCCATCCCAAGCAAACGGTCAATCGTAACCAACCACGCCTTGGTATGCGAACAAACCAGCTGAGAGACACACGAAGGAAAGAAACGAGAGGCCGTCAGCAATCCAGACGAGCGCCTGGCGGGCGAGGCAGCCAAACAAATCAAACAGGTAAGATGCCGGGACAGAAGATGGGTGCGACGTGCTGTTCCGCGGTTCGCGTGTGGCCTACAAAAAGAACGGAGAATTTCCTTCTTCGTGCAAGCAAATCCCAGATAAAATCCCAGGCGGTCACCGGCAGGGGCCACGCACGATGCCTGGAGGCATAGCACGAATCGTAATTTATTCCTCCGTAGAAAATGGGCCACCATTCGCCGGTTTGCACAACACGGCCGCTACGGAAGACATTTGCTACATCGGCCACTGCGTTGTTGCGTGGGCGAGAGGACTATGACAAAGGAAAAAACGCGAAGGAATAAACGAAGCCCATCAGAGGCAACAAAGAAGGAAGGAGGTTGGTGGCTAAGTTAACGCTAGTCCAAGTGGAAGCTGACCATGGATTGGAGGAGCCAAATGAGGTGAACAACAAGGCCGAGCCCGCCAGAACTGCACCTTTGATGGAGCGGACGGTAGGAATTTGTCGTAGAAACCGTGCGTCGGAAATGGATACTCT